GGGGGGGGTGGGCGCGGGGGGAGCCGTGATCAATCGGGATCACCCCGCTGCAGCAAATTAGATGGTAAAATATGGCATAGTACTTTTAATCGATTGCAGTAGCCAATTTTTGGTTGTGTTAGCCTATCGAAATCCTATATTGACATTGCGGATAGGTTAACGCAACCAATAATTGACTACTGCAACCAAAAATTGGCTGCCACAGCCAATTAAAAATGCTACGCCATATTTTACCATCTAATTTGCTGCAGCAGCCAATCTTTCTTTTCGGTGTATATTAGAGAAAAATAATCATTCTTATAGTAATTTTTACTTTCATTTACACGAAATATATTTTATTAACTCATCGCGCGTATTGATCACAATATATCATTAGCGGTTACTAAAAGTCAGCATAAAACAAGGTTTATTTTTTATCGCCGAATAACCATATTGTTTGCCGCACATATTCGTTTGTGCAAAATGTAATCCTGTTAAACTCATTGCACAATTACGTCGCAAATATCCGCAACGGTAAACATCAGTTCGAACCGCGCGATCGCGAGGAATTAAACCAGTTCGGCGGCTGATGTTTGGCGCCGAACTCGTCGATGATTTCCGCGCGTGTATACGCCGGATTGGCTTACTATTTGCGGCGAATCGGCCGATGCACCGCGCCATTGTCGCCGTTAATTGAAACGATCGTTTGCAGATCCGCGGTCGATTCCTGGTCGGGAGCTTCGGCCCACCTCGGCCCTCCCTCTCTCTCTCTTTCTCTCTCTCTCTCTCTCCCACTCTTGCTCCATAGGTCGCACGTGCGTATCATGATACGCAGGTGTACGCGATCAGCATTCTGCATTTTTATTTTAGAAACTACTGCACTTCGGAGATCAATGATCTCGATGAAGCGCGCACAGCCTGGCACGCTCATCTCCGCTCTCTCGCGGTCGCCGGGCAAAAAAGCATTGAAAAAGCATTGTACTAGAGCGAGCTACAAGTTGTGTAACAAACACGAAACAGAGTGTTTATGGTAACACTTGAAGAAAAACAGATTCCACATGAACTTTGATACCCTCCGGCTTTATTTATGTAGCAGCTCCATTTACGTTTCAATCGAAAATGACTTCGATCGTCCGTTGTAATAATAAATTATTAGGGCGCCAGTTTTTACCGAATCTGCCATATTTCCAATTATAGTTTCAATAAATTCATTGTTAAAATATATTTCAACAATTCTGAAATTTACTAGTCGCCTGGCAGAAACTACTGCACAATCCGCGCAAACAATGCACCAATATTTCCCGTTTTTTACCAATTTATTGAAACGTCCGAATATAGCGTTTCTCCCCGATATTTTCAATCGAATAAATTTCACTGCAAAAAATTCTCGGCGTGCGTATTTAGCTGCACCTGCGATCTCGAGGATGGCGCGCGCTCGTTGCAGCCTCCACAGTAATCTCGCCCTTAACTCGCGCTGTGCTCGGCGCGAAGTGCTTACTCCGCAAGTACAAATTGACTTTTTTTTTTCTCTCCTTTCCCCTGCGGGACGTGCCTGATTGCTGAAAATGCAAAATAAACGGTAGCGCGCGGCTATCCCGCCGACCTCAATCCGGGCCCATCCTTTTTTCGAGACACGCGCACGGTAAAACGAGAAATTCTCTTTGTTCGCGGATTCATTCCGCCGGAAACTTAATTTTCTCGCGTTTCCCCTCGAACCTCCGTTGCTCCGCCTCGTGTCCGTCGTTATGCCCGAAGAAACAAAGCGTTATCGCCGATAAAGAGGTCAATAGTATTTTTATCGGGGAATCGGCGATAATGTCTTCGTTGAATGGCGGTCCATTAAGCTTCGCCCTCTGTCTGATTCTTGAAAATGCAATAGCGAGCAGCGACCATCGCGCCGGCGTGAGGATAAATTAATCGTGACGTTGATCGTTATTTATGAGTATTTCTGCTTGGGAAAACGAGGCAGACGGCTTACTCGTTGGATGTGTTTCCGCGCTATGAATATAAGCATTACTCCGTTGACGGTTAAAACGAGTTGGACGTCGTAATATTGTTGATACTCCTCTTTTTAATTTTGTTTCAATACATGCGTTCTTAATATTTTGCTCACAAAAATTCTTCATGAAAATTGACGAGATTTACGAGACATGGAAACGAGATTTTCGATCATTCTGAATATTTTATCTGATATACGAATCTCTTGATATGAGATTCGAGTAACGATCGTAATATTTTACAATAAGTAGGTACTCTATATATATTCTATGATGTTAGTATTATTTATTAATATCTTCTAAAATATCTATTAACATCGATATGATTAAATTGCTCGTCATTTTAATTTGTAATATCACTGCTCTAGTTTTACTAGGATTGCATTTGAAAACTGAAAGTTAAATTTAGTGTGTAGTTTACAGTATCGGATACGTATAAATTTACACGATATTATTCAAGCACTAAAGATTCGGCTTGTCCGTTTGGAATCTTTATTTCCGATTTATTGCGTATTCACTTTACGGTTTTAAAAAAGATACTGCATTTAATAGTGTTATATACATATATAAGTGTAAATATATAATATATACATCGGAAAGAACGATTTTATCGAAAGAACTAAAATTATGCTGGATACAGATCTAAAAATAATTTTGCTGGATCATCAAAGTAATTTTATTGGAAATTTAAACTGCTAGAATATCAACATTTTTTGCAAAATTGCTCATTATTTTTTAATTTCCAACATTATTTTGATGGTTTCCAGTAATTTGAGATATTTCAGCAAAATCGTTCTTCCCTTGTATATAACCAAATTTACATACAGTAGAAAATAATTTTTTTAAGCGGGGTAAAATTAGAAATATATTAGCTGTACCTTTGTACAAGATTAATTTAAGCAGTTCTATGTTCTGTCTGGCGCGATATACGATATTTTTGCGTGAAAAAGAACGAAGTGAACCGCAAAGAGGTTGAAACAGTTTCAAGCAGAGCGCAGGCGTAAATGGCTGCTACATTACCTGTGCTTAAGGACGATAAAACACGATGCGTACGACTATCGTGCGAGTTATGTGAGAAAGCAAGGGCTGTGCAAGATGCGCAAATACACAGCATGCACCAGTGATCATTTGTGGTTTAAACACAGCTGATATCTCCGAAACCGTCCGTTGCGTAAGTAATGGACAACACGATGACACGAAGCATAATACTATTGCAATATCGAAGAAAAATATCCACGCGTTCAATATTGCACTCATTTGAAAGTTCAATGGTTTTGTTATCTTTGAAAATGCAACCAACTGCACCGTATACATTGTTTCTCTACATTTAGCATTTTATTGTGCTATTTCTCGAAAACGTTCAATGATACAAAATTATATTTTACAGTAGAGATTTATTAAACTTTTCATTATATATATATATAAAATGCAATAGCTTTAAACGAGCAGAATGTCTTTTTATCAAACGGTAAATCATGTTTAATAATTTCAGTTTGTATTATTGTTAATGATGCAGCGAACGTCATCCGTAATCGTTTAATTTTGTATGAAATTCCGCATTTGGCGAAACTCAGAGAGTATCTTGCCTCGTAATATGCGGAATACATTATGTGAATAAACATTATTCCTCGTTCTCTTATCCATTAAGCGGATTACATCTCTAAGTAGCATAAATTACCTCCGTAAATAAGACAGTATGCTTCAGGTATGCATCGCTCCTGTTTCAGATGTTTTGAGCAGCACACCACACGGAAAGATGAAGACTGCGGTCGGTACATTCCTTCTTTTGCTCGTCATCAACGGCGTCATCTCCGTCGAATGGAAGCACAGTGCTGTCCTGGACAACAATTTCTTGGTGCTCTGGACGCCCGATGAGAAGGACGTTACATTCGAGATCCAAGTGAAGACCCTCGGTTACGTCGGGCTCGGTTTCACGAAGGACGATGGCCGCGCCGGAGCTGACATGGTCATCGGATGGGTCGATAACAACGGTCAGGTTCACCTTCAGGTGAGTATCTTTTTATATACTGTATCGGGTAATATCTGATTTCTTGCGGTCACCAGCACATCTCTTTTGGTTTCATCTCGCGTGGCTGTACCAAAGAATAGATGGTGCACTCTCGCGCGTCACGAAAAAAACGATGATCCAATCTACATCAAGTGTGTCTAAAAACACAGCGATCCAGTATAGCATCTCTGATGAGAAATCATATGAAAAAAAAAAAAAAAATAACCATGCCGCAGCTTTTGAAGTTTTAACATGGAATATATTAGTTTAATAAAATAACGGAAATTAAATTTCTGTTGAAATAAAGAATTATTTAAAATACGTGTAAAAAAAATATGATTTTGTTCATACACTTTTGAAAATTAATCCGTTAAAGGACTATAATTTTCGTTATTAAAAATAACTTTTTAACAAGGCCGTCGATGCGAAGTTTATCATTTATTACGCAATTTATCACTTTAACAGAAATTACCTACATCCCTATATACCGTTCCTATGCTGTTGATTTCTGTTTCGGACACACAGAGAGCTACAAATGGAAACCGTTACCGCATAGAGCATTCACATTAAAGCTCACTGATATTTAAATCAACCACGCCGACGTCCTACTTGTGTACGCAAAGTGCCTGGAGGGGG